TGCATAGTCAGTAAAGCACAGATAGACATTCTTTTATCTATGGACTGTCCCAGCTGTTGTAACAGGATAATACCCATACACATACAAGGAAGACCCGTTAACATGACTCTTATTCAGATATATGCTCCTACATCTAGAGCCAAAGAGGAAGAAATTGAGAATTTTTACTAAACTTTGCGATCTGAAATTGACCAAACATACAGTCAGGATGCATTAATGATAATTGGTGACTGGAATGCAAAAGTAGGAAACAGTGACTGGAATGCAAAAGAAGGAACAGTAGTTGGAAAATATGGGCGTGACACAAAAGATGACTTTACACGTGGCTTTCACCTGACGGGCTGCATAGGAATCAGGCTGACAAGCTCTGTGGAAGAAATCACTGCAGAAGCTCAGTACCGGCAGTCAGAACTAGGCAAGGGGCAGACTGTGGGTCAGATCATCAAATACTCATATACAAGTTCAAACTGAGGGAGAAGAAAATGAAAATAAGTCCATTGGAACCAAGATACTTTCTTGAATCAATCCATCTGAATTTTATTATCATCTTAAGAATAGTTTTGAGCATTAAACACCAATGATAGAAGACCAGATGAGTTGTAGGTTGATATCAAGGATGTCGTCCATGAAGAAAACAAAAGGTCATTACAGAAAACAGAGGAGAAAAAAAAATCAAAATGGATGTTAGAAGAGACTCTGAAGATTGCACTGGAGTGTCAAGAAGCCAAATCTAAAGGAAAACATGTTGAAGTGAAAGAACTTAACAGACGATTTCAAAGGGCAGCTCGGGAGAACAAAGGAAAGTATAATGAAATGTGCAGAGAGCTGAAATTGGACAGTAAAAAGGGAAGAACTCGCTCTGCATTCCTCAAGCTGAAATAACTGAAAACCAAATTTAAGCCTCAGTGTCGCAATATTGAAAAATGCTTTGCGCAATATGTTGAATGACCCAGAAAGCATCAAAAGAAGATGGAATACACAGTGTCACTGTACCAGAAAGAATTGATTGGCACTGAAGAATTTCAGGAAATACCATCTGAACAGGAGCCAGTGGTAATGCAGGAGGAAATAGAAGTTGCAGTATCACTCATAGTGACCCTATATACAACAGCTCTGAAGCCTGCCATGTCCTGAACCAGTCTGTTGACTCCGACACGCCTGTACCCATTGCCCCAGTTGCTGTATCAATCCACCTCATCCAGCGTCTTTCTCTCCTGCACTGTCCTTCCACCCTTCCGAGTATGATGTCCTTTTCCTGGCCACGTGCCCAAAGAGTGTAAAATACAGCTTCAGAATCCTAGCCTCCCAGGGGATACTTGGTTTTCACCCTCTCCAAAACAGACTTACTTGTTTTCCTGGTGGTCTGTGATATATTCAAGACTTCAGTACCACAACTCAAAGGCATTGATTCTTCTTTTGTCATCTTTAGTCATTGTCCAGCTCTCTGATGCATAACAAGTAATTGCAAAGACCATGGCCTGGATCAAGTGCACCTTAGTCTCTAGACTGGCATCGTTGCCTCTCAGCACTCTGGAGAGGTCCCTGAGAGCAGACGTCCCCAGTGCAACTCATCTTCTGATTTCTTGACTGCTGGTGCCAAGAGCTGATTGTCAAGCCAAGTAAACTTAAATTGTTAACAACCTCAGTCTCGTTTCCATCATCATGGTACTGTCAGTTGGTCCAGTGGTGAGAATCTTTGTCTTCTTGATGTTGAGCTTCAATCCATATTGAAGACTACAGTCCTTGACCTTCTGCTTTAAACGCTCAGGTCCTCCACAGTTTCAGCAAGCAAGGTTGTGTCATTTGCGTAGCATAGGTTGTTGATGGGTCTTTCTCCAATCCTTATTCCACATTCCTCCTCATAAAGCCCAGCTTCCCAAATCATCTGTTCTGCATAGATTGAAAAGGCATGGAGACAAGACGCATCCCTGATGCACTCCTTTCCTGATTTTGAACCATCTCTACCCTTTCTTGCCTTCCTGTCTTTGCTTTTGGACACACGTTGACTGTTTGGTCTGATATGTAGTTGATTATTTAAGGAAGCATAATACTCATGGGTGATACTGTTTATTTCCTAAGGCAGTCTATTCTTGGCTGGAAGTTGACTTCCAGGAGTTTTCAATGCCATGTTCAGAGTTCCCCTAGTCTGTTGGTCCAGTTAGCTTGGTGTTTTGTTTGGTTTTTTTTAGTTTGGATTTTGTTCAGCATTTTTCTCCCATTCTGTCTTGGGCCCTCTGTTGTATCCCTTGTCAGAATGATTGGTAGTGGTTGCTAGGCAACATCTCGTTCCTCTGGTCTCAGGCTAAAAGGGACCATAGTTTATGTGAGCTCATCATTGAATTTTGCAACAGAATGTATTTACTTGAGAATAGGAAGACACATGGTGTAAACATATTTGTATTTATCACTATAGGTTCTTCTCTGAACTGTCTACTGAACACATTCCAAAAGAAGTTATTGTAATGAAATTTTTTTGGTAGCATTTTTAAAATTTATTTTAATGAAAGTTTACAGAGACTTTGGATTTCCATTCATTCATAGTTTCACACTTTCCTCACTACCCACCCCTCCCATCTAGCCTCTTTTCTCTTTGAAAAGTAAAAAAAAAATTATTTCATTGTTATACAATCCTCCCCAGTCCACTCTACTATGCAGCTTTCTTTTTTTTATTATTACTTTATTTGTGTGTGTGCTGTCAAATTGGATCTGACTGGTACAGGGGGAGATTGCCCCTCCTTCTCCAGCAGAGGTAGATTCGAACCACGTACCTCTGGAATTGCAGTGCAGCTTCTTGTGAGCTCTCTTTACACTATGCAACTTTTATTCTGGACACTAATCATATATGTTCCTCCTAAACAGTTCTCACCCTCATCTGTTTCAATGCAGTATACATTATTTATCCTCTTTTTAGTTTCCCCCCCAACCCTGATGTCTGTCTGCTTTACAACAGTGGCATTGTGCAGTATTTGTCCTTGTGTGACTGAGATATTTCACTCATCATAATGTCCTCCAGGGTTACCCATTTTGTAGAATATTTCATTAGTTCCTTGTTTTTCAGTGCAGCATTGTATTCCATTGTATGAATATACCACAGCTTCTCTTGCCATTCATTTGCTGATGGGCACTTGGGTTGTTTCCAGCCCTTTGCTATTGTGAACAAAGCTGCAGTAAACATGGGTGAGCATGTATCTGCTTGGGTGGCAGTTCTGGTTTCTTTAGGGTATATTCCTAGTAGTGAAATTGCTGGATCAAATGGTATTTCTATTTCCATCGTTTTGAGAAAGTGCCATACTGCCTTCCATAGTGGTTGCCCCATTGTACACTCCCACCAGAAGTGAACATGCGTTCCAGTTTCTCCACAACCTTGCCAGCATTTGTTGTTTGCTGTTCTGTTTTATTTTGCTATTGTTACTGGGGTGAGATGATATCTCATAGTTGTTTTGATCTGCATCTCTCTTAGAACTAGGGATTTTGAACATTCTTCACGTGTTTGTTTGCCATCTGCATGTCTTCTTTGGTGAAGTGTCTGTTCATATCCTGTGCCCATTTTTCAATTTGCTTATTTACCTTTATCTTGTTGTGGTGCTCAAGTATTTTATAAATTCTAGATCTAAGTCCCTTATTAGACATGTCATTACCAAATATTTTTTCCCAGTCTGTGGTTTCCCTTTTTACCCTGTTGGAGAAGGTTTTGGATGTTCATAACAGTTTTATTTTTAGAAGGTCCCATTCATCTATTTTATCCTCTCCTGGTTGTAGGTTTTTCAGGATTCTTGGAAGACTGTTTATGTTGTGGATTAGGACTTCTAGAGTTCTTCCAAGCTTTTCTCTAATGAAGTTTATAGTCCTCGGTTTTAGTCCTAGGTACTTGATCCTCTTTGAGTTGGTTTTTGTATCTAGAGTGAGGTATGAATCTTGCTTGAGTTTTCTGCAGATGGTTTTCCCATTTTGCCAACACCATTTGTTAAAAAGGCTGTTGTTTCCCTACTTAACTGAGTTCATCTCCTTGTCAAAAACCAGTTGACCATAGGTAGATAGGCTGATTTCCGGGTTCTCGAGTCTATTCCATTGATCTGTGTGTCTGTCATTGTACCAGTACCACACTGTCTTGACCACCACAGCAATGTAGTAGGATTTTAAATCGGGGAGTGAGCTGCCTCCTACCTTGTTTCTCTTTTTAAGGAGTGCCTTGCTTATTTGGAGCCTCTTTAAATTCCAAATGAAATTGGAAATTGCTTTTTCCATCTCGTTGAAGAACGGAATTGGTATTTGTACTGAGATTGCATTGAATGTATAAATGGCCTTTGGTAGTATTGTCATTTTCACAATATTGAGTCTTCCTATCCATGAGCAAGGTACATTCTTGCATTTCTCCAGGTATTTTTTTGTTTCCTGTTGGAATGTTTTATAATTTTCTTTGAATAGATCCTTTGTGCTTCTGGTTACATTTATTTCCAAGTATTTAATCTTGTGATTAGAAATTGTGAAGGGTATTGTTTTTCTTAGCTCCAGCTCTATATTCTCTTTATTACTGTAGAGAAATCCAATTGATTTTTGGATACCTCTTATTTCCTTCTCTTGTCTTATTGCTATCACTAAGACTTCCAATACACTGTTGAATTGGAGAGATGCTAGTGGGCATCCTTGCCTAGTTCCTGTTCTCAAAGGGATTGCCTTTAACCTCTCTCCATTGAGAACAGTGTTAGCTCTCGGGTTTGTGTATATACTTTTTACTATGTTGAAGAAATGCCCCTCTAATCCCATTTTGTTGCGTGTTTAAGTAGTTCATGTTAGGCTTGTAATGTAGGTAGATGTTGACATTAACTCTTTTTCTCTTTGGTGAGACCTTTTCCACATAACTTCACTGCATCAGTTGATTCTGAATCTGTATTTTAAAGTGTAGATGTTAAGCTGTAAATCATCCTAAACACAAAGAACACAAGGCTTGTCATGTAGAGGTAGTCAAGTTCAACATCGTCTTAACTGCACTCTCTCCACAGGGTCTCTGCCACTCCCAGCTGGTGTTGGAAGAGCCGGCTTCGATTGTGCAGCTGGATTATAGCCAGAAAGTGCTGCTCATCTCCACCGTGCAGAGAAGCTTGCTCTTCTACACAGAGGAGAAGGCTGTCCAGCAAATTGGCACACAGCCGAGGAAGACGTAAGCATCCTAATCTGTCCAGTTGGGTCTGAATGTTGCATTTGGCTGCAGAAGGTGCTTACATTTTCTGTAGATTGCCCGTGTTTCGGTGGAGCCCACAGTAGCTCTGAGCCAGGGGTGTCTTCTCTGGTGGGGTGCCTGCCTGCCTAGGCCACTGGCTCCGACCTGAGAGGGAGGAGGTGGGAGTGGTCTCTTGGAGGAGCCTCCAGGCCTGAGCACACTTGCGGTGATCTGGTTCTGTGGAGACGTCCCCTCCGTGGCAGTCACGGCAGGGCCCAGTGTGGGGCTCACGCTTTGATCGGTGAGTGCATGCTGAGCTCTCTGCTCTGAGGAGCCAGCGCACCTGGGACCTGCGTGCTCTGAGCGCTGCTGCACCCTGTGCACGTGCCTGTGTGCTTCAGCCGTACGTTTGCGTCCATGCACTGTGGAGCTCGCACACTTTGTACACTGGGGCACTTGTGCATCCGGCGCACAGTGGTGCCCTCTGTGCAGTGTGCCCTGCAGTGGAGCTCCCAGAGAGTCCAAGTATGACAGGTGTGCCCTTGCTGCATAGAGATGTGCCAGAAATGTACACAATACAATTGTTAGTGTTAGTGCGAACTTCAGGCTGCTGTAAGAGGCTCAGCAGGCTTCTGACCCCGAGGAGATGGTGCCAGGGAAGATTTCCAGTGAGGTATGATGGGAGTGATCCCGAGAGAGGGAAAGGGCTCAGAAGGATTCCAGGCTGGACGGTCCTTCCTCTTTGGCCCACCAGTTAGAGGAAGGGCAGCCGAGAGAAGGATTAGGCTCTGCCAGCTGCCTGGGAAAAGGGAGCAGATACAGAAGTGATCAGTTAATTCCCGGCATCCACATCAGCCTGAAGATGTTCTTTGGCGGTCTCTGCAGCCGCTCATATGGAGGTGGCCATCCGTGAGGACATGGGTGGGGGGGTGGGAATGGTTCCCTCCGAGAAAGGGTATGTTAGGGAGCAGAGGTAGTCCTTGAAGCGGAGAAGCTTGTGACTTGGGGTTCCCATCTGTACCTCCTTTCTGTCCCCTAGTGAAGTGATACAGATGCTTGCAGAGAATCAGGGCACAATGCAGAGGGTGGTGCATGTGGGGAGGATTTGAGACCGTGTGGAAATATGGTGAGAGGTCAGGTGTTAGCACGGGCTGCTGAGCCCCACGGTCCCCATCTGTGTTGGGCTGGGGTGGGGAATGGCCGACGCCAGCAGTGTCTACTGGGGGTGGGGTGCTGAGAACCCGGTGCTCATCTGTGGTGGATTAGGGGCCACCGTGGGTGGTGCCCATCTGTGGTGGGTCAGGGGCCTGAGGCCGGCACTGTCCCTCTGTGATAGGTCCAGAAGCACTTAGTGAAGTGAGGTGGCAGTGCCAGCGTCTCCTGGACTGCTTCACCCCTCTGTCCTGTCCTGCACTGGAGACAAACAGCGCAGTGCGGCTTGTTCTCTTTCAGCGTGGCAGCCCTCCAGCAGCGTGAGATGTTCTCTTAGTTCCCCTTTGGCTTCTGTTATCCAACCTGAGTCGTGTCTTAATTCCGTGTCTTAATTCCATCCAGTTTGACCCTTTAATATATAATCTCCCAGGTTGACCCCTGAGTCCTCAGCAGGATTTGCAGTTCGGGTTTAGGGATTGTGCACTGTTGTGGACCAGCTGTCCCTGGGCCAGCAGCCTGTTCTCCTGGCATGTCCCTTGTTTGTCTGTTGACTGTTCTCTACCCAGTACCTTTCTGGAAGGACCAACCAGTTGCCGTTGACTCAGGCTCACGGTGCCGTGTGTGTGTGTGTGTGTGTGTGTGTGTGTGTGTGCGCGCGCGCGCGCGCACTCCCACTCCCACAGAACTATGCCTCACAGGCTCAGGGGCTTGTATCTGGGAAGTAGATTGCCAGGCCTTTCTTCCAGGCTACCTCTGGGTGAGCTCAGACCTGCAGCCTGTCAGTTAGTAGCCAAGCATGTTAACATTTGCACCACCCAGGGACTTCCCAGGAAGAAGGTGAGTGTGAAGAGGTGGGCCCAGGACCTGTCAGGTGCATTGTGTAGCTGGCTGGCTGTCCCTTCAAACCAGACCTAACCACCTGTGAGGAGACTTGCGCCTCTGTGCCTCTCTTCTGGCGCATGGGAGCAGCTGTGTCTCTTGCCAGTGTAGATTGATGAGAGTGTGATTTTGTGCCACACCCTGTCCCAGGGGGCGTAAGTGGCTCAGTATGTCCCTGTGCTCAGTCCATTACTGAACTCCGAGAAATAAAGTACTTAATATCTGTGGGAAGTGAGCCTGAGGCATCCTGAAGACTTAACTCTCTGCTGTGAACTATTTCTGACTGTAGTTCTAAAGGATTTCATCGTCTCTCCTTTGGAAGCAGTGCTTCGTTTCACCCACATTCATTCATTCACCAAGTGTTGATCAATGAAGAGACAGTCTGTAAGCAAGAGAAGATCTGTGTTCATCACAACAAATGTTGTAGAGGAAATTATCAGAGTGTTTGCAGATCACTGAGGGTGCTTCTTTTAGATGGATTCACTGGGGAGGAAGCCCCAGCATGGAAAGAGCTGGTGGAGTTGCCTCCTAAGTTGAGAGAACAGCTGAGAGAATGTTCTAGGCGAGGGCCGGAGACACTGACACACATGAAGCTAAGAAGGAAGCCCGGGGCCATTTTCCCCACTTTGGGTGATTGTGAGTGGCGTGAACGAATGGTGCCCTAGGGAGCATTGGTGCACTAGTTCCCGCTTCACCTCCTCAGGGTGCAAACAGCAGAGCGGGCTTGCAGGTCAGAGATAGTTCCATCTTGTGCTTTTGGAAGAACCACTCACTTCAGAAATTATTATCCCCATTCTACAGATTAAAAGACTGACCCAGAAAGTTTGAATAATTGCACAGGCCATGGTAGCTGTTAAATAAATGTCACATCTGGAAGTTGAACCCAGGTCTTGCTCTAAAGGTAGTTCCCTTTCTGCTGTTCAGGTTGGGAATGTATTTTGGAGAGAGAATCAGCAGTAAATTGTGAGACTGCAAGTGTGAACTCTGGTAGAAGTGTGAATCTTAGCAGGGATGGGACAGTAACTCCTGGATCGTGGACAGCAGTGTGAATTGATATAAAAACAACAACCTCAGGGAGCTCTGGTGGCAGGAAGCTGCACTGCAGTCCCAAAAGGAACACAGTTCCAATCCACCTGATGCTCAGCTGGAGAAGGAAGGACAATCTTCTCCTGTACCAGTCAGATCTGATTTGATGGTACATGCACAAAAAAATAATAAAATTTAAAAAACAACAACCTCACTGCCATTGAGTTGCTTCTGATTCTTGTGTAGGACAGAACATAACAGCCCACGCAGTGTCCAGAGCTGCAGTCCTCGTGGAAGCCGACCGCCGCAGCTTTTCTCCTGCAGAGTGACCCACCTTTGGGTTGGCATCTGAGATCTTCAACCACTACAGCCTCAGAGCTCCAGAGTTGGAATCATTGCATTGAGAGAAATGGGAAATTGTCTTCCCGCTTTGAATTTGCTGTTACCCGACAGCTGTTCTTCAAGTAGCCTTGATAAACGCTTCCACCTATGAGTTGGGGGCGCATGTAAAAATGCTCATGGCGCATTGTTCAAAATAGTAAAAATGTCAGTCACTCAAACTTCCTCCACAGAAGGGTGAATAAACTGTAGAATGATGTTCAGCAGTAAACAGTGCATTGGCTCAGCTTCATTTTATCAATACAGGTAGATCTTAGAAGCCATATTAGTGAAAACAACCAAGTCCTCAAAATACATGGTACCATACTAATTTTTATGAAAAATAAAAAGCGAACCATGTCATGTTGTCTTACGTTGTTAGATGCTGTTGAGTATGACTCATTAGCAGCCTGTGAACGACAGAGCTGGTCTTTGTTCTAGCGCATATCGTCCTCATCTCTGTGCACTTGAGCTCATTGCTGCAGTCACTGTGTCAGTCCGTCTGGTTGAGGGTCTTCCACACCTCCCCAGACCCTTCACCATTCCAAGCATGATGTCCTTTTCCAAAGAATTGCCCCTCCTAACAGTGCCCAAAGTATGTGAGAGAAAGCTTCTCCACCCTTGCCTCCAGGGAACACTCTGGCTACGCTTTTCCCCAGACCTGTTTGTTTCTTTTGCAGCCCGTGGGATATTCAGTACTTTTCTCCAACACCACAGTTCAAAGGCATCAGTTTTTCTTCTGTCATCCTTATTCACTGTCCATCTCTTAGACTTACAGCAAGTGATTGAAAAATCCATGGCTCAAGTGCACCTTAGTCTTTAAGCTGACATCATTGTCCCTTAGTATTTTGGAGATGTCCTTGTCTGCAGACTTTCTCAATGTAGCATGTCTCTTGACCTCCTGACTGTTGGTGCCAAAGGAGTTGATTGTGGATACAAATAAGATGAAGTTGTTGACAATTTCAATTTCAGTCTTATCTCCATCTATCATGACGTTCCCTATTGGTCCGGTGCTGAGGACTTTTGTCTCCTTGATGCTGAGATGCAACCCCTATTGAAGGCTGGAGTCTTTGATCTGCATTGGGCACTTTTAGGTCCTCCTCACTTTCAGGTTGTGTCATCTGCATAACGCAGGTTGTTGATGAGTCTTCCGCTGATCCTGATGCTACATTGCTCTTCCAAAAAGTCCAGCATAGTGCATGGGAAAACGTGAGGAGCTCTGGTGGCATAATGTGTTACTTGTTGACCAAGAGGTCAATAGTTCTAGTCCACCAGCTGCTCTGCAGGAGAAAGATGGTCAGTCTCTTCCTAGAAAGATTTAAAATCTTGAAAACTCAATGAAGAGTCCCACTGGGTTGAAATCAACTTGACCTCAATGGGTTTTGTTTTTTAACACATAGATGTGCTATGTGCTGTCGAGTTGAAACCAGCTCCAGCTGACCCTCCTGTGAGTTTTAGAGGCTGTGAACCACTTGAGAGGAGATTGCCCATCTTTGTCCCTCAGAGCAGCCGGTGGATTTGAACCACCCACCTTTGAGTCGCCAGTGCAGTCCTCCCCTCTAGGTCATGAGGGCTCCAAACTTGATGTTGTGAAACTAAATCAAGGACGAGTGCACACAGTTGACACTCACAGTCCCTTTGGGAGACAGAGGACAGGAACCAGGGGGCATGTCCATGGTCACTGATGGTGGATTTCCTAAGTTGATCGATGGGATCCCAGGTGCATGTCACTTTTAGGCGTGTGTTCTGTATGTATGAAATATTTCCTCATTTTACAGATAACAATTAAAGCACCCTTCAAGTCCAAAGAACAGAGAAAGGGAGTCTCTGGTGGTTTTAGGTGGTTTTGGAGGTCAGTGAAAGGCCAGTCACCTGGGTTCCAGACTTGAGATTTGCTCTCTGGGGGGACTAGAACCCACAGAGTGATGCCACGGGAGGGACGAGCTGCTCAGCCGTGGGCCTGTCACCTTCCGCCTCAGTTTGCTTTCTGTGCAGCAGGAGTGATGATTTGACTTTGTATGTGGGGTTGCTGTAGCGACCAGACGAAGAAGGGGAGATGGGTGCTCAGTAAGAGCTGTGGCGGACACAGAACGGTGGTGACCACTGCGCCCCAGGCCTGCGGCTGTCCAGGCCCTGGAGGGTGTGGTAGATTGTAAGGCTGTGTGGAAACTCCAAGCTGCCACTGACATGGTTCTAACTCCTAGCGACTCTCTTGGGTTTCCGGGGCGCCAGTGTTAACAGAGGAGGCTGCCCATCCCATCCTCTCCCTCGCAGTACCACGTGCTGTCTGGTCAGCCGGCCTCCTGGCAGGTGGAGCTGTGCTGCGTAAGCTTTTCAGGGGCTGGCGTCTGGAAGGAGGTCACCCATCCTTTCTTTCTAGCAGGCCAATATGTTTACCATTTGCCCCACATAGAGACTCCACATGATGATGGGGTGGTTTAAAGAGCAAGAGGGAGAAAGGAAGAGAAATCAGTCTTGTTTATCCTCACCCCGAAAAAGTCCCTGTTCTGATTGGTTTAGGGGTTTGTGACGGTGTCAGTTAAATCAGACTCTGTGTTTTTCTTGTCTCTCTCCTTGTTTCAGGGCTGGGAAATTTGGTGCTTGTTTTATACCGGGACTCTGTAAACAAAGTGACCTGACCTTGTACGCATCAAGGCCTGGGCTCCGGCTGTGGAAGGCCGACGTCCAGGGCACTGTCCAGGCCACATTCATCCTAAAAGATGTCTTCGCTGGCGGAGTCAAACCCTTCGAGCTGTACCCACGCCTGGAGCCGGCCGATGGGGGGAGCTGCGGCGCTCCCGAGAAGCACCTGGGGCTGGTCTCCTGCTTCTTTCAAGAAGGCTGGGTGCTGAGCTGGAATGAGTACAGTGTCTATCTTCTGGACACCGTCAACCAGGTAAGTGCGGTGGTGGCGCCACCTCCCTTTGTGGTGCCTCGGGACAGAGACTGGTGGTCACAGACAGTTCTGCCTGAGCAGCTCAGAGGAAGCGATCTGTAGGGAGCTGTCTCGCTAGCTCAAGGCCGTGCCTTTCTGGGGGGCCGGCGCACAGGAGGAGATTGGCCCCGGGGAGCAGCAGCTGAGAGTAGGTTCCAGCTCAGTGGCCTCAGTGCCATTGAGATTTCAGAGGGAGAGACAGGACAGTATTGGTTCTCATGTTTGACTCTCTCTTTTGGGCCCATCTGTAAAATCAGATATAACTCCTAGCTGAAACGTTAGGGGTTTGAATCAGTCCAGTGGTTCTGTAATATCCAGGCTTGTCCATGTTACAGCCCGGAAAGTCCTAGAGCACAGACGTGCCCTGTCACACGGTCACAATATGTGTGGCTCATGGAGCCAAGCGGGCCCAGCAGTTCATCTCTCAGCCGCTAACTGAAAAGTTGATGGTTCCAGCCCACCAGAGGCTCTGCAGGAGAAAGCCCCGGTGACAGCTGAGAAAATCCTGGGGGCAGCTGTACACTGTCACATGGAGCTGCTGTGAGTCACAGTGCTGTTTCCAGACTGCCAACTTATTCCCAGCACGTTCGTTAGCGAAACGCATGCAACAGAAACAAGAGTGTGGAGAAAGGTGGCCCTTGGCCCTCCCAGGTCCCAGCGCCACCACAGATGGGTCCCTTGCTTCAGCTTCCTCTCACCTCCATTCTTTTGTCCTTTTTCTCCTCACCTAGATGGAGCCATGTTATTTGACCCTTATTTTTATTGCATTTTCTTGACTTGATATGTTTCTTGGGCACTTTTCACTGTCATAAAATCATGGTGGGAAACAGTTTCTGTTTAAATGAGAGCGTTAGCAGCTTACCATTGAAAATCAACGTCTTGTTTGATGCCATCAAGTTGACTAGAACTCATACTAACTCTGAATACCCTCCCGGATCCTGCGCCACCTTCACAGTCTCTGATGTTGTTAGAGTCACTGTCCCTCCATCTTCTGAGGGTCTTCTCCTTCCCTGACCCTCTCCTTTACCAGGTATGATGTCTTTTTCTAGGGACTAACCTCTCCTGATAATGTGCTCAAAGGATATAAGTTGAAGTGTCCCCATCGACCTACACTTTACTTCCAAGACAGGTTGGTTCTTCTGGCTTTCCATGCTGCGTTCCATACTCCTCACCAGGACCACACATCAAAGGCTTCCTTACTCGTCGTGAAGCATGTGAAGCAATGGAAAATGACGTGCCTTAGGCCGGGCACACCCTGGGCGTCTTCATAGTGGCGTCACTGCTCTTTGGTCCTTTGAAGAGTCCTTGAGGGCGGATCTGCCATGCAGTGTATTGGATCTCCTGACTGCGGCTTGCACGGTGTTGATTGTGAACCCCGGTGAAATCCCTGACAGGCCCACACTTGATCCATTTTTCACAGTGCTGCTTTCTGATCTAGTTGTGAGGCTCATTGTTGAGAGGACACCTGTAAAAGGCTCTGCATAGTCTTTGATTATCATCAGTAAATACTTGGAAACCTTTTGTTCTGTTTGTCTTAAGAGCAGGACTAAATGATCCCTTCACTCCTCACATCTCAGACTAGACTCTGATCAGACGTGATGCTGCCTTGTGCGTGCTTCCTGTGGACCAAACAGGCTTCTGACAGGCACCCTATCTCCTGGAAGGAGGGAGTTAGCATAGAAATCAAAGGGTTTGGATGTGTCAGCAAAAAAGGAAGCCTCTGGCTCCTTCACGCTGCTCTTTGATCCCAGTTGTTTATTGCTGCCAGCCATCCCTGATAATACTGGTTTAGTGGGAAGAAGTCACCTGGAAATAGGAACCAGGCTCCAGTCGTCTCCCGGGCTGCTGCCCCACCTATTGCTGTGTGCCGTCGAGCCTAGTTTGCAGAGCAGAGTAGGACTGCCCCCTAGGGCTTCCAAGACAAAAACTCTTCACGAGAGCCAACTGCCACATCTGCCGATGATTCAGGTGGCTGCTGGTCGGTGGCCTCCTTTGCCTTCAGGCCAGCGGCCTCTAACCTGCCGGAGACTAGTGCCCTGATGCGTAAAGTGAGGATCACCAAGGTGCCTTTTAGCCGCTGGGTTTGTTTCTCTTGTTAAGAGACACATAGAAAGACGTCTTTGCCCTTTTTCCCCTTACAGGGAAATTCTCTTCCTTGTCGGGCTGCCGTTTGATCTTAGGTTAATTTACTCATTAGTGGGGTATCTAGTACTTGCACGTCACATCTTTTCATCTCTCCGATAGGGGTATAATTAACCTTGTTTTATAAGTAGAAAAATGGAGCAGGGACTAAGGATTACAGGCCTGTCTGTGATCAGAAGGTGCTGGCCGTCCTGAGAGCCGGTGACCCTCGGAGACCACTAAACAATACGCAGCTCGAGAATCGCATGCCACGTTTCTAGCTGGGCATCAGGATCATTCATTTAACAAAGGACTTAGACTCTCCCATCTCTGTCTGCACTGTTGACTGAGAAGCGAGAGCTTGCTTGCTTTTTTTATCCACATGAACTCAGGGTGCCTGTGTCCTCTCAGTTGATGGGGCTCCCTCCCTCTTTTCCTCCTCTAGGACGCCTCCCCTGAAGACACCCATGCTGTCAGGGGGCTGGGTTCACCCCCACGTGACTCCAGCTGACCCAGAGGTGTCTCTCTGCTCGCTGAATGCCGAGGCCTTTGATTTGTTGTTTGCTAAGCCCCTGCTGCGTTTAGCATCTGCTTCCCTCCAAAGTGGTCCATGTCTGGAGCTTCTGAGGAGCCCTGGGCCTTTCGAACATGAGCTTCTTGGGGAAGCTTTCAGATGGGATGGCCTCAGGGGAGAGTGGGGGCACACCCAAATGAGCAGGGACAGGGAAGGCAGTCAAGCAGAGGGACCAGTGTCTCCCAGAGAGTACCCTTGGAGGATAGGTGCCCCGAAGCATGGACAGAGAGTTCCAGGGCAGCAGAGAACCTACAGCACAAAGGAAGGCTGCAGACTCCAGATGCCAGACTGCAGATCGGTAGTGGTTGTCTATTTTGGATTGCAGTTCCTTAAGAATCGTCAGGGCAAAGTGGACTCACCTCTAGATTTCTTTGGCATCTCACACACGTTCTTAGGCCCTTACTCTTTTACTAACTATTGCTTGTCTTTCCTGACAGGTCACAGTTGCGGGTTTGGAAGGATCAGGTGATATTGTGTCTGTTTCATGCACAGAAAATGAGATCTTCCTCTTAAAGGGAGATAGAAACATCATCAGAATTTCAAGCAGACCCGAAGGATCAGCCTCAGTAGGTTTGTATTTGTTCTAACACAGACTCTGTGGAAAAGACAATACTGCTGTATGTCATTACAGCTTCCAGAACTCACTGTTGTTTTCCTGGTTTTACAGTGCAGTAGTTTGATTTAAATAAGGAGATGATAAGGGGATATTGGAGGGTTTTCTATGATAATCAAAATCCCATTGAGAGTATTTCTTTTTAAAGTGACCAGGCTCTATGTCTAGTCCATTTGGTAGAGTTACTTCCAGGGGAAAAGGCAATGGAGAGGGCAGGTCCGTAGGAAGGAGAAATCTGAACCACTTTATTGATCTCTGATGTCCTTTCTGATGCAGTGAGATTCAGGAACCCAAAGATAAGATGTTAGCACTTTTAGGTCTGTCACCTGGGCTGCGTCTGAATACCATCCGCAGGACCCCTTTCTGCTCTGACTTGCTCTGTGACTCCCACAAACCCAGAGCTTGTGAGTAGGGAGCCCTGCTGGGGCTTCTGGTGACCCTGCACATGTTCTCAGTACTGGACCCCTTAGTCAGCTTGTTCCTGGTGGACACCACCACTGCACGCGCCCCTCCTTTCTTCATCATTGTCCTCAGTTATTTTGTGCTTGAATCTTTGTGCCAGAGATTGTGCTCAGCCCTTAACAGTTATGAACTCATTAAATCCCAAGTACATCCCAAGTGTTAGAGGTACTGACTCCAGGGATATAGAAACTCTGGCCCAACAAGGTGGAGCAGTGTGGCCAGAGACCTTGCCCGTGGTGTGTGAGGGCTTTGTCCAGCCAGGACCCCCAGAGCCTGCAAGGCGATTTCATAGACCTCCTGTTGGAGTCTTAGGACAAGCCATTTGGGAAACTCGAAGCAGGTCTCCCTGAAGTCATTCACCCTTCTCCCACCCTGCCCACCCTCAGCCCCAACTCACACACCAGGCTCACGTTGCTGCTACCTGTGGGTTTATGTATAGGACAAAGGGACATTCCGTAACATGACCTAAAATCAGCCAGGAGACCCCCTAACATCAGAACAAGCAAGGACATGGACCTCAGAGGCCCAGCTCCAGACCACTGCTGTCCCACGTGTCTACTTGCCACTTGAAGGGGAAGACTTGCTCTCTGTCCTGACCAGTAACGGACTACCAGCTCCGTATGGCTTGTGAACATTTGAAATGTGCACAGTGCAGCTAAAGCACTGAGTGTTCAATCTTACTTAATGATGAGTAATTTGCATTGAACCGTCACCTGTGGATCTGCCATGAATAGGTGTACTCCTAGCAGGTCACTGTCCTCCTCTGGGCTCTTAAGATTCTGGCCAGGAATATGTCTGCTATTGGCCTCTGACAGCCCCCAAGCAAGAGTTCTGTCTACTGCTCTATTCCCTGTGCCCAGTCACTGTGGGGACTCGATGACGAAGGGACAGCCTGTGCCCACAGGCCTACGTAGGGGACCTCTGGTGGCCCTGATGATGTCTTCATGTAGCATTGGAAGAAGGAGCAGTCCACCCTTGTGGGGGAGCCTGGGCTCCTGGTCTCATAGAGAGAATACTAGGACTTGACTGTTGTCTCCTGCCTTCACCCTGCCCTGTGCAGCTAAGTTTGTCCATGTCTCTGTCCTGAGTGGATTCTAGTGGTAGATAACCTTTCCCACCTTGAACCTCAAGACATTCAGTTGCACTTTCACTTACGTTTCAGTGCTCATTGAGTACTATTACAGTGCATTGGTGGTTGCAGCGTACGTATGGGGCCTCACCAACCTTTGTTTATGTATACCAGCATCTGTTCTTGTAGAAAGAACTTGTAAATAGAACCAACGTTGCTCCATGTGTGGTAGTATCACTTTACTGCGGAGTTATTTACAAAGACAGCATGGCAGTCTAGTTCTCTTACTGATTGGGAGAGATGAGATTTCTGGAAAACAGAGGTTGCTTATTGGGAGTTTTCTTAAATGTGATTATCATCTTTTTAGGTCCTTTTGCTAGTTTGTCTGCGTTAATAATTGCGAGTTTCTCGTAACCTGGGTCCCTCTGAGCACTGGGCGTGGGAACACGATGCTGTCCCCTCGGCTCGCCTGTGGTAAAACCACCGCTTGTTCCTCAGGCAGAGACCGTCTGGAAAGCACGGGGTGTACGGAGCGAGTCCACATGCAGCGTGTGGAGAGGGCCCCGGGCTCGGAGACACGACTGCGGGGCTCCTCTGTGGCCAGCTCGGCGGCCAGCGAGCCCCGGAGCCGGAGCAGCTCCCTCAACTCCACGGACAGCAGCTCGGCACTGCTGCCGCCTGGCCCCCTCAGCGTCCCCGACCCCAGGCTGGGCAGCCCGTCCTCCGCACAGAGGTTCAGCCTGATCAGCTCGGAGGACTTCGACCAAGAGCTTGTTGTGAAACCGATCAAAGTGAAGAAAAAGAAGAAGAGGCGTAAACCAGGTACCATCCTTAACACGTTGCCGCACACTTTTAAATTGACGACTGTGCTTAGAACCACACTTTGGCGTCATTTGTGTTAATAAAGCACCACCATGCTCAGCCCACCTTTGGGCCTCCTCCCTCCTGGGGTGCTGAGTGTCTCCAGGACGGGAGTGTTTCTCAGCAGAGGAGGGTCCAGAAGAGAGGGAAGTTTCTGAGAACAGAAGAGGCTTCTGGAAGTGAGCCGACCTCTCCCTCAGCGAGCAGAGGGGGGTGCAGAAGTGAGCCCACCCCTCCTCCCTCCAAGTGCAGAACAAGCTTCCAGAAGTTGGCAGGCCCCTCCCTTAGCAGAGAAAGTTCAGAAATGAGTAGGCCCCTCCCTGTAAGAGCAGAGGAGGGCTTCTTCCCCAGCGGCGCTTCTCCTGTGCTGCCCATCAAACCAGGTCTCTGAACTTGACTAGAAAGTCTTGGGAATGGGAAGAAAACGTCCCTTCCTCTCTAGTTGGAAACTTTGCCTTTGTTGCTGTTATGTGTCAGGATGGAAACGCCTCATAGCTGAGCCTCAGGTGCCTTTTCAGAGACCGTCCATCTCTCTCCTGAGCCGCAGTCGAGTCTGACTCTCCTGCCTGCGGGTCGGCAGCAAGCTCCGCACCCACGGGGCCCAGGCCGGCCCAGCTCTCTGCTTGGCAGTGGTCATTTGAAATTCCACCAGATCTCCATGAAACAGAGCAGGGCCAGTGAAGTGGTGCCAGGTTAGGTGGGCGGTTGTCGTGGATTGGAGTCCTCTCCTTGGTGCCCAGCAGCCATGCTAACAGCATGCTAACTGCAGCTGAAAGCCTGGGCGCCCCACACAGGGAGAATCTCATCTGATTCCTAAGCATTAAAAGGCCTGGGGTCTGTGGCGCTCTGACCTCTTTGGTTATGGTTTCTGGGTGTGGCCTTGGGGTCACACGTGGTTCCTGTGCAGAGCTCACCTCCTGCTTCAGGACCACTTGGTTCAGAAGCTTTGCCATCATCACTGAAAATCCCTGGTGTAGAGGTCATGTTTATTCCACCAGCATCTTGTGTTCAATTGCTGTTACTCCTCACCACGGCCTTGTTCCTGATCTTACATGTTCTTGTTTGAAATTAGAAAGCAGGAGCGGAAGTACCCTCCACAGCTCCCTGGAGTCGACCCCCTGCTGCGAGCTCCCGGGAGGCAGCCCCCAGTCCCTGACCGCAGACTTGCTGTCCATGACCTCCAGTGTCCTGAGTGGCAGCGTGGACCAGCTGAGCACTGCATCCCCCGACCTGGAGAGCAGCCTCTGCGGGGCGCTCAGTGGGGTTGTGCTGGAGACCAATGGCTTGGAGACCTTCAGCGTGCTTCAGGCCCCCGTGCCTGCCCCTGACTTCCTGGTTGAAGACCAGGAGGACAGGACAGACCCGCTGCAGTGTGGTCCTGTGGGTGACGCGCCCGTGCTCCTGGAGAACAACATGGACACAGAATTCGGAGAGGAGTGGGCTCCTGCAGGTGATGAGTCCAGCCGTGAGCAATCACCCTTCCAAGAACGGGACAGCTTGGCTGAGTCGCACGAGGCAGAGGACACGGAGCTCCACAGCCCCCCAACGACATACTCTGCAGCTCCCCTGCTGGACCCGCTCGCTGCTCCTTCCAGCCTCACGGTCTCCTCGGGTACAGAGCACGTGCCCAGGGCTGACAGGACAGGTGCCTCTGAGCCTAGAGAAGAGCAGATCTTCATGATGGTGACCGGGGACCCTGACCTCGCTGGCCCGAGTCCCTGCTGCAATCTTTCCAGAGGTGGTGGAGGTCAGACAGAAGTGGCCAGTTCCACATGTGACTGGAGGGGCACACGAGGAGAGGTGAACCCTCTGGTCTCGGCCTCAGTGGTCAGCCCCTACGGACCTCTGCTCGCACAGCCCTCACGGGACCAGACATCCATGTCCAGTGATGAGGAGGACATTTACGCCCACGGGCTTCCCTCGCCATCCTCAGAGGCCAGCGCGACGGAGCTCAGGGGCAGCCACTCGCTTCCAGACCTGGGCCAGCCAGGTGCAGAGCCCACGGTCCTGCTGAAGGCAGACCAGGTACGATGGTCTGGTGCACGGCCTCTGGGGCCTCTCCATGGCGTGAGTGGTTTTCTGTACCATTGGAGGAAACCCATTCTTACTGCAGGGCCTTCCTGTGGGGACCTAGAGCATTTCCGCAGGCCCCTGCCCATTGACCTCTGTCCCATGGGAGCAGGGCCGACCCCGAGCTCTGGGACACTGATCCCACAGATCCCCACCACACTCAGCAGCTCCCACCCCCCCATCGTGAACTCAGTGACACCTCCCCCCACAGGAACGGCCCACCTTGTACTCAGTGATCTTTTCCCCCCACATCCCACAGGAGCAGGACACGGCTGGTGCTCCAAGCCTGCTGTCCCTGAGATGGGCCTCGTTAGGGGACTCTGGTCGTCCAGTAGGGAGGAGCTGCGCTGTACTCCCAAAGGTCCTTGGTTCTGATCACTTAGCTTCTCTGCAGGAGAAGGACGGGCAGGCTCCTCCTGTGTGATTTACCGCCGCTGTAAACCTGCTGGAGGCTCAGCTGTGGGTGCTTCCAACTTGACAAACAGCAGTGATAGCAGCAGTGCCTTTGGTTATCCTGTCACTTGTCTGGTCACTGAGACTCAGGGACGTGGGGACTGTCCCCCTCAGCAGGTGGAGCAGGGATCACCACCCTCCTCAGCCAGGCACCGTGCAGAGTCCTCAGCAAGTATAGAGCGAATGTTTGGGCTTCCAGCCGCCTGGGCCCTCAGTGACAGGGATCCCTGATGCTGGCCAGGTGCCCGGCCTCACAAGTTAACTCACTGACCGCTCCAGAAGAGTCTGGTCATGCCCCACCTGCAGCAGGTCATGGTCGGCCAGTAGTGACCAGCGGCCCCAGGCTCTCCTCCCGGCCGTGTGGCTTCTCGCCTCAGAGCAGAAGTGTGCTGGGAGCTTTGAGATAAAAGCCAGGAAGGCAGCCCTTCCTGTGGCCCATCCGGCTGGTGGTGAGTGACCCCGTGTGTCAGGCTCCGGGTGTGGTGTAGGTTCACCACAGTGACTCTGCGCAGTGGAGTCCCTGCCAGGGGGAAGACAGACGCATGCTCAGAGCGGCTGGGTGGAGTGGGACTCGGGAAGGTGATGAGGGCGTGGGGCACTCAGCATGGCGAAGGCTGAGACTGAGGTTCTGTGCTGGAGATTTAAGTGGGAGAGTTCTTGGCCATGAGGGTGTGTGAGGCCAGTGTCCTCTCCCCCAACCCCTCAGCAGGAAAGCTCAGAGATTTGTGAGAGCTTCTTAAGGGGGCTCATTACGGCTCCCTGGAGAGCAGAGCCAGATCAAAAAGTGTGGGACACCATTCTCAGTGAGGCATTAACCTCCCAGCCCACTGCCCTGCCTTGATCCTGATTTGTGACAGGATCACAAGACCTGCCCTGGCCCCAAGGCTGCAGTCTGCAGAGATGCACTGCCACGTCCCCCACACAGAGGGGCTGATGGATTTGAACTGCTGACCTTTTGGTTAGTTGCTGAATGCTTAACCTCTGGGCCACAGAAGCTCCCTAGTCAATCTCCATATGTATTTGTAAAATTGCATCGATTTCCTTTACAGTTTAAACAGTGAATTTAAGCCTAAGACTTAAACAAAGTTTTAGGTTCAAGTGTTGAAAGATTCTCAGCAGGGAGGAAGTCCTAGCTGAGGTCTACTCGTCCTCCCCCACAGCCTACCCAGCATTAACATCCCCTGGAAAGAGCCTGTACCCCGAGAGTAAAACCAGGTTCTGACCTCTTCAGTGGGCTTGGATGACCTTGTGGAGAAATTAAGACATTTCCTGTAATGTGACAGTGTTATCCGGGGGGTCCTGAGTGGGACAGCAGCCCTTATTTCTGGATGCTTCTAATCGGGGGGAGCCTGTGGGGCAGACTCTGCTTGGTTCCCCTGTGGTCCCCTCAGTCTCTCCATCCCACGGCGTTCTGCGCACTGTTCTCCTCCCTTCACCACCTCTCTCTCTGTCAGTTTGCCGAGAGCTGGATGGGCTACTCGGGCCCCGGCTACGGCATCCTCAGCCTGGCGGTCTCAGAGAAGTACCTCTGGTGCCTGGACTACCGCGGGGGCCTCTTCTGTAGCGCGCTGCCTGGAGCCGGACTGCGGTGGCAGAAGTTTGAAGATGCCGTCCAGCAGGTGGCAGTGTCGCCCTCAGGTTTGTATCCCAACACCTGACCCAGGATCTCCTAGCTTCTAGCAGAGGCTGGCAGCTCCCCACACCTGCCTTGCACCCCACAGTCTGAGAACCTGACGTCGTGAACAGAAGTGTAAGCAGAAGCTGAGTGAGGGCTTTTTTTCTTGATTGTGAGGGTGACACATAAATATGTTTTTGCAAAGTATAGTTATTTTCATTTTATGGGACTTTTCATTTAAGGGACATTTGCCCATCAGCCCTTTACAATGTGCATGTTTCTTTGTGTTGCCTGAAAGCAGCTGAGCTGGTGAAGGCCACGCGCAGTGTGGCGGTCACATTCACTGAGCCGGCTCCTTTCCAGGAGTGCCTTTTTGTGACCTCTCTGCTCGGGGTGAATCTTGTTCATTCAGCCTTTCATGCCATCGTCAGGCCAGCTCTAGTAAATGGAATGGAAGTTTCCTGAAGGACGTCCTACAAGGTCAATGTCCAGCTCTTTAAATACTGGCCTCTTTTATTCTTATCCTGGATAGAGGAAGGGAGACCAGAACTGGGTGACATGCAGAACACAGGTCCTCTGTAGCTGTCCTGGTCCTGGGATGAGTCTCGGGAATGTCAAATGAGATTGAAGGCCTCATTTGTTCAGGTGCTTTACTCGCATCCCCTCACTGCCGGTCTGGGGAGTTGTTTCAGGGAAGGAGGCTGAGAGCACAGCCCCCTGTGAGCTGGCGTGGTGTCCCTGTGTGCTCACCCTGACTGACATGGCCATTCCTGAACCCTGCCTGGATGTTTCTGACTTTGCTTTCAAATAAAGACCCTCTGAGCTGCCTCTTTCAGGGCCCTGTGTCTGACACTGGGGCGGCTCCGGGCTCCAGCACTGCACTTGGCTCTCTGATCGTTCAGCTCCTTGGAGTAAACCTTGCAGCCAGCCCAGTGGCCCCTGGTAGGATCTCTCTCACTTGACTTATGCAAACCTCCACCTGAAACTCTTGTCCTGCCTCCCCTCTCCCTTTACCTGATTTGCCCATGCCCCTTCTCTAGTGGCGAAGTCCCCTCTGCTGGTCCTGAAGCAGCCCCTCTGTTAGCTTCTCTGTGGGCTGTTTTGGCCTGTTAGGGGACTCACCACCCCTTGCCCTAGGATGAGTCTCTGTGTTCTCTGTGTTCTCGCCTTGCACCTTCAGTCTTTCCAGGAGCCCTGCAGGGAAGAGATTGTCCCCATCTGTGAGAGGAGAATTGAGCGGCTCTAAGCAGCATCGCGTCCAGTGCTTGTCACGCCTGGGGCGGGCTCTTCCCACCTGACCCTGTGGCCTCTGCTCAGGGTCAGAACAGCGGTGTGTGTTCTGGGCCTCCCCTCCATGCCAAGACGAAGTTACCTTGGGGTGTCTGTCAGGATGTGCAGACGTCAGAGTGTCACCTGATTGTGAGCAGGTCCTCTTTGTTACAGGCGCGCTCCTCTGGAAGATTGAACAGAAATCCAACCGCGCCTTTGCTTGTGGAAAAGTAACCATCAAGGGCAAGAGACACTGGTACGAGGCTCTACCCCAGACGGTGTTTGTGGCCCTGAGCGATGACACAGCCTGGATTGTCAGGACAAATGGAGATCTGTACCTGCAGACAGGTGGGTGTGGGGGGGCTCACCTACAGGCCAGTGAGGGAAGGCAGGCGCAGGTACCCATTAGTTCTGAGGTGAATGCTGCTTGCTGCACCCTTGCATTGCTAGTGACAGATTTAGTACAGTCTCGAGGAAGATACTAAAATAAAGTTAAATGAAACTACTGGAAAAGGAGTGTTTGCCACTTAGAAATTACTCAGTTTGCACTGACCAGCAAATTCACATCAGGACAAATTGGGGGCAAGAATGCATAGGCTGGCTTTGGGGGGGTACAGAAGCAGCTTTTTCTGTGGCTGGCCAGCTGCAGGCCCTTACCCTGCAGTATGCAGTCGGTGAAAAGCGTACAGAGAAATGTTAAGCGAAAAGACTTACATGATTGGACTTCCAGCCAGGTCAAACCCGACTGTGTGCTTATTCACATGTGGATCAGAGAAAACAAGAGATCATTTGCTCTAAATAGCAGTTCAGCTTGTCCTAGGAAACTGCCCTGGGGACCCTGTAGCCTCTGGAAGTGACACAGGGGGAATTGCTTATTCAAATAAACTGTAATGAGAATCTGTGTGGATGTGCTGTCAGCACAGAGGGAAGTGATTGTCCCAGAGCACCGCAGCCCGTGTGGGGAGGGGTGAGGATGGAGGCAGAGGCTCCTGCCTGTCAGGAGGCTGCCTGGCATTGAGGTAAAGATCAACCTAACGTTTAACATTGTGGATTCTGGAGGAGTGCTGACTACAGCTACCGGCAGTCATTTGGGGGTGTTGAGACTGCAGGCTCTGCTTGCTCGGCCCCAGATGTGGGCAGCAAGGACACCCCAGCTGTCAGGCCCTGCTGAACAGCCTTTCCAGCGGTGAGGCCTCAGGCCCGCCGTGGCCTCTGTAGCCAGCTCCAGTGTCTGCACTGTCCACTAGGTGATAACAGCTCTAAGTTAGAGCAAACCACTTTTCTCCTCTACCTCCAGCTTCAGGAGTGTCTGAGTGTTGTTGTTGTTGTTGTTGTTGTTGTTGTGTGCCATCAAGTCAGAACTGACACATAACTGAGCCTCCAGTGAGTTTTCAGAAGCTGGGAATCGCAGAGAAGAAGTTGCCATCTTTCTCCGCAGAGCAGCTGGTAGATTCGATCCACGTGCCTTTGGGTTGGCAGCACAGCTTTTAACCCCCTAAGTCTTCAGAGAACCCTTTTATTACTGGGAAAATGGGTTGCCTCTGGCCTGAGCGTGAGAGAGGGCTGGCCTAACCATATGAGTCACCAGGGCTGTGGTCTCAGATGAGCCTGGCCCCACCCGGACTTCCTGGATTATGGTCTCTGGGGATGGAGCCCGAACTTGGATGTAGCAAGTCCCACAGTGATCCCCACCTGAGCTCAGGCGGACTGTGATTCCCAGAGTGCTGTTGGGGTGTGTTGAGGAGCAGATGTGAACTGAGGCTCAAGGTTCTGGTGCTGGCACTGTGCCCACACAGGTCGCAGCTCCTCACGGAGCGTGGCAGGACAGAATGCAGAGGTGGGGCACAAAGCCTGAAGCCCGGCACGCAGCTCAGCTCCTTCAGCTGTCATCTCCATGCACCCCATTAAAACAGGGTGAAGGGGAGCCAGTGGCAGCCTGGCAATAGAGGCACCTCTGACGAGGAGGCTCCCACGAGCACAGCTGTCCAGAGCGAGAGTGACCTGCAGAGCTTGACCAGCTCTGAAGGTGCCTCCCTGGGACCTGCTCTTTCGGACCCCCAGCCCCCACCCCAGCTACTGCTCAGTGACAGGAGATTCTGAATTGTCGCTCCATCATTTTTCACAGGGTGTCTGGAAATGCTTCAGGCAGGTGTCATGGGTAAGCGATTCAACTGTGTTATCTAGACCAAAGCTTAAGAAGCACTTCCTGTGAAAGAATCTAGACAGGTACTGAGAGAGGCAGAAGTTAGTCCCACGAGGAGGAGGGTCGTGCTCCTGAAAGCTGGCCTGTTTGTCTCCCCGCAGGCCTCAGCGTGGATCGTCCATGTGCTCGGGCCGTGAAGGTGGACTGCCCATACCCACTATCTCAGATCACAGCCCGCAACAGCGTGGTGTGGGCGCTGACAGAGCAGCGGGCCCTGCTCTACCGGGAGGGCGTGAGCAGCTTCTGCCCCGAGGGCGAGCAGTGGCAGTGTGACATTATCAGGTATGCAGGGGGCAGCCCCTTCCCTGGCAGTGAGCAGGGGGCAGCCCCTACCCCTGGCAGTGAGCAGGGGGCAGCTCCTTCCCCTGGCGGTGAGCCTTCTGCAGGGAGCTGTCTGCTGGAGGTTTCCGTGGTGAAGCTTCCCCCAGCTGGTGGGCAGCCTGATCTGTGCGCTGCTGCCTGGCCGCCAGCCCTTGGAGGCTACTGCTTGCCCTGCCCTTTCTAAACTGCCTCATCAGGCTTTTTCCCTCAGAATCTGGGATGGTTTCAGGCAACAATTTTTTCTTTACTTCTATCCAGTCAATTAAAACGAGTATGATTCCTTGCGTTGCTTTTAACCGGAGAGATTTGTTACAGAATTACCAAATCAGTTTGCTACTGTGTAAGTATTAATAGTATTAATAGTTCTTAGAAGAGTTACACTGGGGTATTCTGTAACTGAACAACCCAGGAACCCTTTACACACACACACACACCCCACAAAGCTCGCACAGACCCTGCGTCAGTTTTGTCCCTGCATCAGTTCTGTCTCGCAGACTTTCCCCACGGTGTCTGGGGCTGTGATGTTCAGGCATGTGCTGCCGTGTGTCCGAGACTGTGATCTGCAGGGGCTTGCACTGCCCATGTACCCTAGGCTGTGATCTTTTCAGGAACACACTGTTCTCCTTTCTTCTTGTGAGTCTGAACCTTTGACCTTTAGGGTAGCAGCCTGACATTTGTTGTTACTTGTCGTGGAGTGACCTGTGACCCATAGTGACCCTATGTACAGTACCTCTGAACCCTTTCCTGTCCTGAGCCAGTCTCACTACTTATGACACACCAATCCCCATTGTCCCAGTTTCCGTATCAATCCATCTCATCGGGATCTTCCTCTCCTGCGATGTCCCTCCACTCTTACAAGCATGATGTCCTTCTCCAAGGACCAGTATCTCCTGGCTATGTGCATAGTGAGATGGAGCTTCAAAATCCTAGCCTCCAAGGAGAAACTTGGTTTTACCCTCTCTAAGACAGACCTTTTTGTTTTCTTGGGAGTCCATGGTATGTTCAAGACTCCTCTCCAGCACCACAAATCGAGAGCATTGATTCTTTTTCTCTCGTCCTTAGTCACTGTCCAGTCTCTGAAGCATAACAAATACTTACAAAGACCGTGGCCTGGATTAGGCACAGCTTAGTCTCTAGACGGACATCATTGCTCCTCAGCACTCCGGAGAGGTCCTCAGCAGCAGATTTTCCCAGTGCAGTTCATCTTTGGATTTCCTGACAGAAGCTACAAATGCCATTAGGGTTTCTTTAGTACCTGTCCTGTACTGAGAGTCCCAGTGATACAGACTGTAAAGATGCTTGGCTGCTAAGCAAGGGATTGCCGGTTCAAGTCCACCCAGAGGCAGCTGAGAGCCTGTGCAGCGCCCTGCCCTATGAGGCCCCAAAGGAGCAGCTGGTACATGGCAGTGGGGGACGGAAGGGGGAAGTCTGACTTTCCCCTGCTTCATAAAGGGGAACTGTCCTCATCAGTAATGTCTATAGCAGCAAACAAAGAGCCGCTCGGTCAGACACACCACCCATAATCTTGCATCTATTTCTAACAGTCACTGGGTTCAGTATTCGTTATTGACTCACAGACTTTATTCACAGTTGGAGTACTAAGAGTGGGGTTTATTAGGGAAATAGGTTGGGGAGTGGGAGAGCAAGGAATACCTCACAATACTAGTCCAGCAGTCCCAAGTCAGAATCACAGCAAAACACAGTTTGTTGATTAGTAAAAGTCCTGGTTTCTGTTTCTTTTAAGCAACAGATTCAAGAAGCCTCTGGTTTCCTCAGTCAACCAGCAAACTTTGCCCCAGAGCAGTGATAAATCAGCTTCTCCTTCAGGCATCTGGCAAGAACAGCAAAACCTTTAACCATGGCCAACAAAAATACAAGAAGCCTCAGGCCACATCTTACCAGTTTCTCCACAGCAGTGCCACAATTTCTCCACCACATCACCAGCATCTTGCTCTAGTCTCCTGCAGGGTTTGCTTCCCAGAGAAGCACTCTCTCTTATCCTAGTTCCGCAGCTGTTGATGACCATGTATGTGCAGTTAAAGTAGCTGGAGACCAGAGGAGGCTAATGTAATGACTAGAAAAGGCAGCTTTTAAGCTAATACTGAAACTGGCCTCAGTTTGACAGCAGCTAGCTAGTTTGGAGGTTTTATTATGTGCCAGGCTTCTGCTGGGGTTGGGAAAGACTAGGACACAGCCTTGCCTTCGAGGTGTCCCATTCCAGTGTGGAGACACTTAGTCACCAACACTGTTCAGCAGACAGTCCTAAACCAGGGGCGGAGGACTTAGTGCTGAGGGCTGCCAACTGCCTGTAGATGTTGGGAAGGCCGTACACAGTGTGGCTGAGCCTTGAGATGGTCGAGGCTGTCCTCACAGGGGCAAGGTGGGCAGCACCTGCCAGGGACAGCTACAGAAGGGCTTTCACGTTCAGGCGTTTGCAGCCGCTCACCTGGTGGAGGAGGAAAGATGGGGGTGGTCAGGCCTTGAGCTCCACAGACAAGCCACTGCTTACACAGCTGCTTGTTTTCATTCGTCATTTGCTTTAAGAGTATTACACACTGCCCTTCAGGAAATCTTTCAGAAGTTGTTAGGAGTTGGGACAATGTATGTGGTCCAGTTATTAACTCAAAATTCAAACCCCTAACTTAAAAAGAATAAACTCCTTGTGGGGTACACTGCTGGGCTTCCAGGCCACATCTACCCTGGGACAAACTGGGTGCTGACTAATGGGTGCCATGCAGCGGACAGTACGTGTTGGGTGGTGGGTGGCAGATGATGACTGCTGACTTTCTCTTTTCCAGCGAGCGGCAAGCGCTGGAGCCTGTGTGCATTGCCCTCGGGGATGAGCAGACACTGTGGGCCCTGGATACCCGTGGAAATCTGTGGTTCCGAACTGGCGTGGTCTCCAAGAAGCCACAAGGAGATGACGACCATTGGTGGCAAGTAGGCATTCTGCTGGACACCATGTGCCAGGGCTCCCTGCCCTCAGGGAGATGAGTCAGGGCGTGCGGGGGATGCTCTCTTGCACTGCCAGGCTCGCCTTGCTGTGTGTGGGGGACGCCGAGTCCTCTCATCACAGCCCCCTCTGCTCACACAGAGCAGCCTGTATCTCGTGGTGCTATTTGGAAGTTTATCATTAGATGTTAAATACGCCCAGCAGCAGCCCTCTGCAGATCTAGGTAATAATGATGTTTAGCTCTGAACCAGTGTGCTAAGAAAAGAGCCCAGACAATAGGTTTGAAAGTCACAACCCACCATTAAAATTCATCTCTCTCTACTTGGTCAGAAGCCCTCGAAGCACAGAGGGTTTCAACAAAGGAAGGCGTTTCCCAGCAGTCTCCCAGAAGGGGAAGCGCGCGGTGAGAAGGAGGCAGCTGTCGTCAGCTGACCTTGTCAGACATGGGCCCTGGGGAGTGACCAGCGCCCTCCGCTTTGCCCTCCGTGCTGACTTCACCTCTCCGTCTCCTGCAGTGCTGGATACAGACTGCATTTCTGGAATGTCCTGCCAACCTCCGCTGGTCACATTGTGGTGTCACTTCAGACTTGCTTGGGGGCAGCAGATCTTCCACTAGTCACTTTTGGGTTTTCCAGATGAGAAATCAAGAGAAGAGTTATGTCTGCTCTTTGATGCCAGTGTATAGTTTACACTGTTTCTATCTTGATAGATTAGTTAGTACTTGAAAAGCTTACATAATAACTAACATTGTTGCCTCTTTTTAAAATCATACCTGTGTCTGTCTGCTTGTGTATATGCATGTGTGAATATATTTACTAAATACTGGTTTTAAGTAGGATAAAGAACAAGGTGGCATTTTATCATACAATTCAGCAAATTACCTTTTTTTTTTAATTTAGGTTGTTTATTTTTTCATTTCAATGAACATCTACAGAGAGTTTGGGATTCCATTCATTCATTGTTGCTCCCCCCTCCCCCCACAAATTACCTTTTGAGAAACTTCATTAAGAAGAACCATCTTTAGAAGCGTGCTGTTTTATTTGCCGGAACAGTGACTTCCTTGTTAAACTGTGGCACTAGTTCTGACAGGTTGTTGTTGTGTGTCATCAAGTCAGAGCTAACCTTAACTGACCCTCCAGAGGATTTTCAGGGACAGTAAATCTCACGGGAGAAGTTGCCAGTCCTTCCCCACAGAGAAGCTGGTCAGTTCGAGCCTCATGCCTTTGGGCAATGCACTTTGTTACCACTGGCCAGCAGAGTCCACTAGACAGCCCTAAATATATAAGCAAAATGTTCCTTTCTCACTGTAGTTAGAATGAGCAGTGGTGTGGTAAGCAATGAGGGTTAATCACAGACAGTGTGCACTTGTTACGATGTATGGGACAGAGGGACCGAAGTGGGAAGTGAGCGTTTCATCCGTCCCTCAACAGCAATGACCTCAGCGGCAAGGACAATGTGGGGGGTGGTGCCCCGTTACACAAGCATGTGTGTGTGCGTGTGTGGATGCACACGTGAGTGGCTGGCTGGCTGAGTGGACATCCAGAAGTGTGCCTGTGCCCTGAAACCCCGGGCGGGGGGGGGCGGGGGTCTCGGGGGGGGGGGGGGGGTCGGCTCCTGGGAGCCCCCAGTGCTGGCACTGAGGCCAGTCTCTGCTGTCCCCTCCAGGTGAGCATCACGGACTATGTGGTGTTTGACCAGGGCAGCCTATTCCAGACGATCATCCACGCCACACACTCGGTGGCCACCGTCGCCCAAGCGCCTGTCGAGAAGGTGGCAGACAAGTTGCGCATGGCCTTCTGGTCTCAGCAGCTCCAGTGCCAGCCCAGCCTCCTGGGCATCAACACCAGCGGCGTGTGGCTGTCCTCAGGCAGGAATGAGCTCCATGTCGCCAAGGGCAGCCTCATAGGTAAGCGGCCGCATCTCCCTGCCTCGTCCGGGGGCAGCCTCACAGGTAACTGAGCCCTTAGTGCCAGAGCCTGTCGTCGTAGCCTGGGCTAGGCCTCGTGACCGGCATTGTGCCCTTCCGTTCTTCTTCTTAGAGGAGGCATTTCAGGTTTGTGCTTTGTAGATGTTTTTTTTTTAAATTAATTTTAATGAACGTTTACAGAGATTTTGGATTTCCATACATTCACTATTGCACTTTTCTCCCCACCCACCCCTCCTCCCACCAGCTCACTCTTCTTGATAAACAAAATAAAAATTCTTTCGTTGTTAAATAATCACCACCACCCCGAGTACACTCCACTATGCAACCTTCATTCTGGACTCTTGTCATAACCATAATACCCAATCATAGAGCGTTTTCAAACAGTACTCTCCCTCATCTGTTTCAGTGCAGTGTATACATAATTTATCCAGTTTTTCTCAGTCTCTCCCAACCCTGATGTCAGTCCCATTCTACAGTAGTGGCACCATGCAGCACCTGTCCCTTTGTGACTCAGATACTTTACTCAGCATAATGTCCTCCAAGGTCACCCATTTTGTGTAATATTTCATGAGTTCCTTGTTTTTCAGTGTAGCGTAGGATTCCGTTGTGTGAATATACCACAGCTTCTCTGTCCATTCGTTTGTTGATGGGCACTTAGGTTGTTTCCAACTGCTTACTATCATGAACAAAGCTGCGATAAACATGCGTGTGCATGTATCTGCTTGGGTGGCGGTTATGGTCTCTTTGGGGTATATTCCCAGTAGTGGAAGTAGATGGGTTTTTAGAACCCTGAGCTCATTGCCATTGACTTGGCCCTGCCTCATCACGGACACTCGTTGGCTTTGCAAGGCTGTAAATCGCACAGGAGGAGCTTGCCCGTCTTTCTTCCTTGGAGGAGCTGGTGGATTGGAAGCACCAGCGAAACAGGGCCTCTGGGTGGACAGCACCACTCCCAAGGACGAGGTCATGGTGATGATGGTCAATGGTGCAGGTAGCCAGACTCTTGCCGTTGGGACGTTCTCTAGGTGTACAGAGCAGGGACGTTATTCACTGTCACATTGCTGTGTTGAGTCTTCTCTTCTAAGACTTGCTTTCCCAGGGCCTGGATGTTGCAATCTGTTACCACTGGGCACTCACAGGTGCAGGAGAAATAAGTGAGTTGATTGGTAGATTGGTAGATCATGTTTAAATTCAACGTTCCCAAACTGGAACCTTTGAAAGACTCTAGCAGAGAAGATTTCATTTCCTAGTGGAAAACGTATTGCCATGATTAAAAAATGGAGCTGAGCCCTAGTGGTACTGTGCGTGAAGCTCTGGACTGCACGAGCTGCGCCTGGGGGAACGATGTGTCAGTCGTCTGTGTCTGAGAAGCTTGCAGCCTTGGTGACCCTCTGGGCAGCTTTTCCCCAGCCTGGCCCTGTCCGGTAGTGTTGCTGAGTCAGAATGAGCCAATTGGGACCTGTGACGAGGTGTCGGTTCACACGGCAGGGCGTGTGTTTCTGTGATTCCTTGGTGCTTGCCTGCCCTGTAGGCCTCCCTCTGGCCAGCAAGCATGAGATTCTGCCTGGTGTCCCCAGAAAGAAATTAACAGTGGGCGTCTGCTCCCTCACTCTAGAGTTCAGTGTCAGGGAACGTAGTTTATACTTGGTTGCCAATAGCAAGGTTGGTGTTTCAGAGTCAGTGTCTGTAGAGATTACAGCCTTGAAAACCCTCCGGAGCAGTCCTGCCCTGGCACCTCAGATCACTGGGGGTCGGGACCCTCTCAGCAGCGCCCGCTGAGGTTCACAGTGAGATTCTGAAGGCCTGCTGTTATCTGGAGCTGGAGGCCTGACTGAGAGGATATGGTTTTTCTTCACTACGTTCTTCCATGTGTTCTTTCCAGGCACTTACTGGAACAGCGTCGTTCCTCGGGGCACAGCTTCCGCAACCAAATGGGCCTTCGTGCTGGCTTCCAGCGCCCCATCCAACGAAGGTCAGTCACTCACTCGGGACAGTTGCGGGTCATGACCTGGCATTGGAAAAGTCAAGACTGCGGTCCAGCTGTGCTCGCCCCTGAGACAGAATAGAACCTGTAGGGTCATGGGTGTGTGACCCGTTAGCTGCTGCCTGGCTGAGCCGCGGGCCCCAGCAGCTGCCCAGGCCAGTCCAAGAGAGCTACCGAGAAGGGCCCAGTGCAGTGAGACTGCCTGAGTGTGAAGGGGACACAGAGGGGCCGACACGGCCGCAACAGGACTGGTAGCAGCATGGCATGGCAGGGACACAGCTGGCCAGGGCAAGCGGGCACGCTTCTGCACCTTCCCATTGTCCCCCCAGATTCTCCTGTCCCCTTGGTACCTTTTCCTTCCATTTCAGCCACAGCCCCATGATCTGCAGGAGTACCCTGTCCTGACCTCTTGCTCGGACAGAGTGCTCAGCCCCTCCACAGGGCCAGGGAGAGGGGCTTCCTCTTGGCTGAGCCCGGCATTGTCTTCCTGGGATTGCGCCAGGATGGTCCTGGGCCAGCTCACGCCGTTTGTTCCATTCGTGTGTGGAACGTGGTACACTCGGGACCTAGCTCTGAAACCAAATCACATGTGATTTACAGCCTCTGAAGACCCACTGGAGGGTCAGCTGGGGGTCACTTCCTACTGAATGGCACGTAACAGCCTCACCGCAGGATACAAGCACGCATCCATCTGCCTGATTGTGCAGCAGCACTCCGCGTGCCAAATTAGGCCACACCCGGGGGGGACTTCTCAAGGAGTATGTCTTCAACAGACTCTTGTTAAACCTAGAGGACACTACAAAAATGCAAAAAATGGTGCAAGAGCTGAAAGAATAGAGTTACAAGTGAGGCTCCCCATGACCAGGAAATCTGGGGACATGGGTTCTCCCCCCCCCCCACCAGTGACACCTCCCTTCCCCTGGTAAGGTTTAACATCAGCTTTGTGCCTTTGTTCGAGCTGATGACTTTGCAGCTCATTGTAAAACGTCCAAGGTCAGAGCCATTAACCCGGCACTGTTAAAGGACAGTGCATTGGTTGACTCCCAGGGCCCCACAGAAGTGCCGCAGAGCAGGGCACCATGGCATCATCTCCAGGCCTGCCTTCTGGGGCACCTCCGAGAGACACAGACCTGGGAACTTTTGTTGGCAGCCGAGCTTGGTAAATACTTGCACCACCAGGCCAGCCTCCACTCTCTGTAACGTGTGTGCTGTAACGTCCTGTCAGCCTGCTCTCGTACTTGAGTAATCGCAGGTTCTTAGCTGACTTCAGCACTTTAACCCCGTGACAGTGCCAGGGATGAGTGTGGAGGTCGCTGGGCGCCCCCAGCACTGACCAGGCCTCTCCCACAGGAAGCTCCCTGTGGCTGTGTCAGAGCAGCAAGGACCTGTGCCGGGTCAGTGCCCAGAGCGCCCAGTCCCGCCCCTCCACCGTGCAGCTGCCCCCCGACGTGGAGATGAGGTCCTACGCCGCCTGCCAGGACGCACTGTGGGCGCTGGACAGCCTCGGCCAGGTGTTCATCAGGACCTTGTCCCGGAGCTGCCCCACGGGAATGCACTGGACTCGCCTGGACCTCTCCCAGCTAGGTATGGCCGTCCTTGGGGCCCCCAGCATCTTCTCTGCCCGTCTGACCCTGTGTGTGCTGCTAGGCTCTAGAGGGGTGGTGATCACTGAGCAGTGGTGTGCCTGTCCTTGGTTCAGCGTTCCTCCCTACCCCCACGATCTGCCTTGAGTCAGTCCCAGCCCTGTGACACCTCTACACAGTGTCCTCCAGTTCTCCACCCCCCACCTGCGCTCCACAGGTGCTGTAGTCTGACCACATCTCCCAGGAGTGGTCCGTGTGAGCGTGTGTGGGGCCGTGTCTGAATGTGTCCTGAGACCTCTGCACAGGTCCAGGATGACTGTCGTGAGGTCCATGCACTGGGCCTTGTGCCCTACAGGAAATGTAAGCTGTCAGGGAGAAGTGGGATTACCCATAGCTGTTTCTAACCACTTCTGAGGTGTGCTGTTCATGTATTTGGCTTGCTGCTAACAATCAGAAATAAAACTGCCTAGCGTGCAGGTCCGAGGTGTTCCCATGTTAAAGAGCCCAGCCCGTGGGGTGACTCACCTTGGAAGAGGGCTGGGCTTCATTCCTGGGGCTGTTTGTCCACCCAGGGTGAGGTGGGGAGGGACGTGGTTCTAGAAACCAGGCAGAGGCCTGTTGTGTGTGTGGGCCTCCTCTGCGGCCCAGTCTTGTCTTCACACCTGTAACGTGCCAACAGAAGCCCTCCTCCCAGGGAGGCAGCAGCAGTGACCTCAGTACAGGTGTTTGCTGCATCTCGCCGGCAGCCTGACTGGGTGATGCCCCTTCGTGAGGTCTGAATTGTAGTCCGTCTTCTCTGACTGCAAGCAGAGTCCAGTGTTGTGGGCATGATTGGACCTTCTGTTCCTTTAAGACCTCACACCCCTCTTTGTCCCTGTGCGCACTGCCAAGTCCATTGTTTTCTGAGGTTAAGAGAACTCTTGAGTAGATGGCTGCTTCTGGAATGTCACAGTGATTTATGAGAATCCTAGATTCTGGAAGAAAATTTGCCTGGGACCCATGAATATCCATTATGTCAGGCATTAAAAGGTTTAACAAACTAATGTAATTTGTAATTTCATTCTTCTGGGCACAACATTTAATGAAGAAATACTCCGTGTCAGTTTATGCCATTAGTAACAAATGGGATTAGAGTAGACAGTAATTTATGTGGAAGGATGTTTTGAGTGGTAAAATTCTGAATTAATGGATTTTTTTAATAAGATTTTGAAAATAATCCTGACCAAGGAGACATCTGTACTGTTGGATAGAGTTGTTAAAAACTGTTAAAATTTTGACAGGAAAAGACCCAGGGACCGTGCCTTGTGTCTGACAGGGTCATGCCGTAAGAACAAGCTCAGATGCCCAGGACTTAGCACAGCCACTGTCGCTCGCACCAGACGACTCTCCTCTCCCTGCCAGCCTGCGGATCAGTGTGTCCTCCATGGCCTTGACCTCTGCCAGCTGTCTGTGTCCATGGCTGGATCGCTGAAGGTCCCTTTAGGCTGCTTCAGTTCAGATGACAGGTCCCTTCTGCTCCATCCAACAGGTGATGCCAGGGAGCCTGGTAAATGGCCTCTGCACTGCCTGGAGGGGGGCCCTCTGGAACAGCCCGTAGAACCTCATGTGTCTAGTGGCTGGATGGACGCCCTTGTGGGGCCAGAAACTGGAAAAGCCCGTGATCTTTGCCACCTCTGACTTGTCCCTCCAGTCCTGGACAGGATGACTGACAGGCTGGCAGGAGTATCTCGGCAGGTTCCTGCAGCTATCCTGAAAGAAGGTTCACCTTGTCATGTGGACGCCGTGTTCTGAACACGCTTCTACTGACAGCTGCTGACCTGAAAGGCCGCCTGGCACATTCCTGCAGCTGGGTTTACATAGCCGAGCGGCTCTGTCCACACAGCTGCAGCTGTGCGCCTCTCAGACAGACGAGGGTTCGGGCCAGCTGGGCCTCTAGCTTGAGCCTCAAGGGTCTTGATTAGCATTTGTCACAGCTATTTTTGGAATTCACTGCTGAGTCTATTTTGAGTGGTACAGATCTTTTATTGGTGCATTGCCAGAGTTCTGGGGAGTCAGCTCGGACTGGGGCTAGGCCACTTGTAGTGAAGGTTATGAGAAGAAAAACGCTACTTAAATATCAGAGAATGCTTCCCTTCCAGGAAACGCATGGAGGCACATGCCCAATTTTGGGGGTGATGACTTGAGAGTGTTAAGTTGATGTCAGATCTAAAGGCACAGGACGGCCTGTCCACACAGCAGAGTCCCAGGCCAGCGTGTCACCTGATGCCAGTAGCAGCTGTGAGAGGGCCCAGGAGCAGTGCCCACTGGCCTCTGCAGGCACACAGACCCACCCCAGGGCTGGTGTCTGTCCACACGCCTGCTCCAGATGGCAGCCCAGCCGGCATGGCTGCACCATTCTGCTGAGAAATCAAATGACCCACGGAGAGAGAGAGTGCTCGCCTGCCGGTCGGAGAACTGGGGAGCAGGGGAGAGAGCGAGCCCCGCGCCTTTCATGGTGCACGTACCTGCCGGCAGACTCAGAGCAGAATGCCCAGGGACCTCTTCTAACTCACTAACCAGAAGTCAGGTGTCCAGCTTCAAAAAGGGCAAAAGACAGAACAGACCCTTCCTGGAAGATACACAGGTGTCCTGTGAGCACGTGTACAGGTGATCATCATCACCACCATTGTCAGGGACGTGAAGATGTCATCACGCACCTCCCAGGATGGTGAGACAACGCCCACAGACACCAAGCCTTGATGAGGTGTGAGCAGGCAGGAGGCCCGTGCCCTGTGGCTGCAGACGGGCTGACCGGGGAGGGAGCCCGTGTCCACTCCCAGTTAAACATGGTGTGCCCCGTGCAGTGACATTAGGCAGATCCTGTCCGTTCTGAGTTGGCCCCCATTGTGCACAATAGCATGGACACTGCCCTGTCCTGCCCCAAGTCCATGACGACCAGCACGTTTGACGCCGTCACTGTGCTTCTTGTGGCAATCTGTCCCACCTTGCTGGCTCCTGGCTTCACCACCTGAGGACATGTCCAAAGAAGCAAGTCACACAAGGTTCTGTTATGACCCAGAGGACTGTCATTGGCTCACTTTGGGGAGTAGATTGCCCAGCCTTTCTTCCTAGTCTGGTCTGGAAGCTCTGATGAAACGTGGCCACCATAGATGACTGCTCATACACGAATCACGGGTGGTATAGCTTCTGCCTCACAGCAACATTCAGGCCGCCCTGGTGTCACAGGTAACCCAGGGGTGACACAGCTTACCTGTGCGGGCTGAGCAGAAGAAGCACACACAGGGTTCAGTCCCATGAGTTTGGCCAGGCTAACCACCTAGGTGGTAAAACTCAGTCCAGGGGTTGCTCAGGGGAGAAAGTGTTGACAGGAAGGGGCCTGCTGGCCTTTCTGAGATGTGGTTTCTGTTTGGGCGTGTCGGTTACCAGGACCCTTAAGCTCTGCACTGTCTGTGTGTGTCGCCTGTTTGTGAGGTCCCATCCACAGGGCAGAGCTGGCCGAGAGAAGGCTGGCAGGCACTACTTTGGCCTTCTAGCCTCAGCACTTCAGCGTGAGCTCTGGAGCAAACCTTGAGTCTCAGTGGCCTCCTGGGTGACTGTTCAGCAAAATGAAAACCAGTTGTCATCACGTCCTTTCGGTGCGAGGCCACACACACACACCCCCCGCCCGTGTGTGTTGGAGCAGAACTGAGCTCCGTCAGGCCTTCAGAGGCTGGTGGTTTGGAAGCAGGTGGACAGGCTTTCTTCCAAGGTGCCTCTGGTGGTCTAGACCCTCAAAACTTTGGAGTTAATAGCAGCTGCATTAACTGTTTGCTGGGCTGTGTTACCCAGTAAGAAAAGGAAGCACGGGGTTATTTCAGTGTCTTTCTCAGATGCTGAAAAACATGTACAACTGCTCACTACACATTCGTGACTAAGTGCTTTCCCTGCCTGCCGAGTCCACGCTGCTGCTGTTAGGTGCCGACTACAACCCATAGCGACCCTATAACGGCGCTGAACCTTGCCCAGTGAGCCCACCGCACCATTTCTTAACGGCGCTGAACCTTGCCCGGTGAGCCCCCCTCACCATTTCTTAACGGCGCTGAACCTTGCCCAGTGAGCCCACCGCACCATTTCTTAACGGCGCTGAACCTTGCCCGGTGAGCCCACCGCACCATCTCTGACATGCTTGACTCCATTGCAGTCAATCCATCTCATCTAGGGTCTTCCTTCCTGCACTGATTTGGAAAGAGACTTTGAGAAGGAAAGTGCCGTGGGGATGAGAAAGTCAGATGCCAGCCTCTCATCCAAATAGAATCTCTGATGTCATGCAAAATACATACGCATACTCAGTTGCAGGCCTCTATAATCACCACCAGTAAGTGCATGTCTGCCCAGGCTTTTGGATAATCTGACGCTGGCTGTGTGCCCACCCAGGGGCCCTTCATATGTAAGGTGGGGTCATAATAACAACACAGCGTTTTATGAGGTCGGGAATGAGGACAGCTGAACCCACCCTCCTCAGCTGCCCCGTCATCATTGGCTATCACGCTTGTTGCTAGGCAGATTGTTATCAGATGTAACTTTATATTCAATCCTCTTCCCACTTCTTTCCTCTTAGAATCTTTGTAATCAGCAAGGAAAAAAATGTAAAATTAACAGTGAACATTCTCTAGAAGGCTTAGATAATTCATCTTAATTCTAATTAGGAAGATGTTCCTTCTCGGATACAGAGTCGCCTGTCTGATGGAGCTGGCACTGAGAGACACTAGGGGAGGTCTGCCCTCTAGGGCCAGCGCTTCAGGTCTAAAATAGTGTGTTAAAGTCCTCTGGATTCCAGCACAGTGCACGCGCGGGGTGAACAAACTGGAGCAGATTGGATGACTTGGTCCGTGGTCCTCTGACTTCACGAGGGAGATGAAGATGGCCATCATCCACATCCACCCACGGCAGCCGCTTCCCATGAGGGAGAGGCGAGCCATCCCTCCTCCTCCACCCTGACCCCAGCCTTCCCTCCCACGGCACTCTCTGCTGGGTTCGTAATTCACTGCAGTGACCACACAGAGCTCACAGACTCAGTGAAGATGTTTGTTAGAGAAGCAATAGCTTACAGCTCAGAATCAGGAACAACTCAGAATTCAGTTCTCTGGTCTATACTCAGGAAGAGGGAACACATTATATATAATCTTCATGCTAATTAGACTTAAGATGAGCTCTGTGAGCCTCCTGGAGAATCTTCGCTTTCTCAGTTCTGTCCACAGGCCAGCCTCATTCTCGGATCCCTTAGCCCTCAGCCTGGCCACTGCCCTTCTTGGACAAGTGCTCCAAAGCTCTTTAGCTCTGCAAGTGTGTGCCTGGAGGCACCTCACACCACCAGTAAACCTGCCCAAAGCTACTCAGCTCTCATACCTCCCTCCCCACCACCACCCCAGGCCAGGACACCCCTGTGCTGTCTAGCATTGGTCTCTCGGTCTGCTGCCACAATTTCTCTGCTGCTCTCTCGTTGTCTTGTGTCACCTCAGGCGTGGCCGTTGTCTGTCTCCTGCACCGAGTTGGTTCTCATTGCAAAGACTTCAGGTACAGAGCTTGCACATCACTCCTGACTCGCCTTTGTTGGTGGTCATAAGGTCCCTCCCTGGTCCATGATGGTTCATTTTAAGCCTGTTGTTGATTGTCTTCGAGTCAAGCAGGACTCTTTATCAGAGTTCCTAGCGTGTCTGGAGGCGTGTTGTTTAGGATGATAATACTGCCCAGTCCCTCATTAGGGCCTCATACACATCCTTTTCACAGTACCACAGGGCTTCCGTGCACCGTACGTACATTACTAGCCATGCTGTCCAGTCCCTAGGGTGGACACAGGCACCTTGTTGACATAGGCTCATTCTGTCATCTTGTAGGAGTTACAAGCCTATCATGAGAAAGACCTCATAAAAGTGACTTATCACCCCAAGGAGTACACCCCAGCGCGCTGCCTCACTCCTTTTGAAGCGTGGGCTCAGAGTCTACGGATTGAAAGTTAGTCCTTCCGCAGAGATGACTCGTGTGTGCTTTTCCTCTCTGTATAGGAGCTGTAAAGCTGACGAGCTTGGCATGTGGAAATCAGCACGTCTGGGCCTGTGATTCCAGGGGTGGCGTTTACTTTCGAGTTGGAACCCAGCCTCTCAACCCCAGTCTGATGCTTCCTGCCTGGATAGCAATTGAGCCACCTGTCCAGGTAAAGAGGAGTGCAGTGGCAGAGACTTACTCTTCAGTAAAGGGGTTCGTTAGGAAACGGGGACCACAGGCTTCACAACTAATGGGGGAGATGCATGCCCAGGGCCAGGCCTGCCTGTGCGCACTCTGCCCCACTTTGTCGTATCTGAGATCTGAGAGATACAGAGCTGAACAGATCTCCAAAAGTTATCTGAGCTAGCATTCAAATAAAAGTACTTTGTCCCTGAATTTTTTAAAAATGAACATTATATAGAGAAAAAAATAATAGTAATTCAAAAGTATAGCTGTCCCTCAATATCGGAGGGAAATTGACTCCAGGACCTGCCCTATCGGTATTCAGTCCTTGTGTTGATGTCGTATTTGCATTTAAGCTGCATTCGTCCTCTGAGTACTTCACATCATCTGTAGATTACTTCTCATACCTAATCAAACATAAATACTGTGTAAATAGCACTTTACCTTCTAGCCTTTGAGAAATTGCTTGCCTGTTGTTGGTTGAATCCATGTATGCAGAATCTACAACTGTAGGAAGAAAATGCAGGTCCTGTAAAGCCTTGTCTAGAGAGAACCTAGAGTCGGCATCTGTGAGTCTCTTTCCTGGTTCCCAGGGACATTCTTCCTACTCGTCTCCCCCCAGTCCCAGCCATATGGGATTTTTTTTTCTCTCTCTACTCTTTTTACACTCAAATCAGAAGTCTCATTTTAGTGTGCTGTTTCCCTTAAAGACCTCCTAGGCTAGGCTAAGCACGTTTGTTTAAAATGTATAATCAGAGGCTGGGTCTTAATGATTTAACTTGCCCGAGCTCCTGTGGATCGCTGGTTCTGTGACGTTGTGGAAGAACACATGAGGTTGCTTCATTTGGAAATAGGACGGGAATTCTTTGAATCATGAATCCAGCAGGAAGAAAGTCAAGGGTTTGGGTAAAACGCCTGTTTGTGACTTGTAAGCATTTGGGGACTGGAGTGGCAGGAGAGGCACAGGATGTAGGGCTGTTGTGTGGGATGCTGAGCCTTCTCCTGAGAGCTGGGGAATGTTGTGGGCGACCCCAGAATGGAAGGCAGGATTCTGGTCAGGTCTCGTGGTCCACAGAAGGACCACTGTGTCCACATAGGTGCGGCTTCCTCCACAAATAGCGTGGCTGCTAATTAGAAGTTGAGAGGTTCAAAGTCATCAGCTTCTCCAAAGGATAAAGATGAAGCAGTGGGTTTTGCAAAGATTTGTAGCTTTTAAACCCAGTGGGGGCAGTTCTGCCTGTTCTTTAGGGTCGCTGTGGTTCTGAATCTACTCGAGAGCAGAGGGACTTTAGTCAGAAGGGTGCCTGTCAGGGTCCCAACCCTACAAGGTGGATCATGAAGCACTTAGCACACATGAGGTTAGACCTAGTGAATGAAAATGCACAAGTCCTGAGCGCAGTGACCCACCAGCGTTGGCACAGTGACACGGGCCGCCCAGCAGGGAGGGCCTCCATCACTGACGGGCAATGGCGAAGAAAAGCATGCGAACTTAAAGAGAGTTTTAGTGTGACCTTGAAACTCTTGCCAACATGTTCCATCCAACAAGACAGAACTTGAGCGGACTCCTGCAGTCCATCGCCATCTACGCATCCCATTTTCTGACAGTGACAGGTGTGTAGATGAGAAAGGCACTCCACTGGTGGGTCCGTGGGAAGATGCACTGAGGTGAAGGCAGCTTCTTTTTGGTGGCTTGAATCCCCCCGTGGCTCCAAGGGAGAAGATGGGTAATCTCATCTAAAAACCTGCTGGAGGGTCAGCTAGGAGTCCAGTCCAACTCGGTGGTAATAAGGCATTTGAGATGTGTATGTGTGTTGTTACGTGGCTTCGAGTCACCTATGACTCATAGTGACCCTGTGTACAACAACTCTGAAGCCTGCCCTGTCCTGATCTGCGGTCTTCCTCTCCTATGTTGACCCTCCACCCCTCTGAGCCTGATGGTCTTCTCCAAGGACCGGTGCCCAAAGTATGTACAACAGAGCTTCAGAATCCTTGCCTCCAAGGAGCTTGTTCACTAGGCCACTGGAACTCCCTTATGTTTATATTTGTTGTTGTTATGTGCCATCGAGTCGCCTGTGACTCATAGTTACCCTGTGTACAACAGCCCGAAACCCTTCTCTATCCTGTGCCAACCCTATTGCCTATGACACACCTCACACCTATCCCCATTACTACAGTCACTGAATCAATCCATCTTATCAGGGTTCTTCCTCTCCTGCGCTGTCCCTCCACCCTACCAAGCATGATGTCCCTCTCCAAGGACTGATCCCACCTTGTAACATGTCCAAAGTATGTCAGACGAAGCTTCAGAATCCTTGCCTCCAAGGAGCAGCCTGGTTTCACCCTCTCCAGGATGAACCTGTTTGTTCTCCTGCAGTCCATGGTATAGTCAATGCTCTTCTCCAGCACCATAACTCAAAGGCATCAACTCTTCCTTCTGTCATCCCTAGTCACTGTCCAGCTCTCTGAAGCATAGCAAGTGATTGCCAAGTATACTAATTGTTTTCTTGTTAGGTGACACTGGATCAGCTCCGACTCATGGCGCCCTTTACCCGGCACCTCAGACCCTTGCCTGACCCTGCACTGTCCTCGCGAGCTGCACTGTGCTTATGCCCTTTGTTGCGGCCTCTGTGTCAGTCCATCCTATTGACGGTGTTCCTCTCCTTCTCTAACCCTCTGCCTCTCCAGGCATGATGTCCTTTTCCAGGGCCTGGCCCCTCCTCACTCCTCCCAGTATGCCTGAAATACAGGAGATCAAATCTCACCCTCTGAGCCTCTAAGCCGGACCCTGGCTGCAGGCTTTCCAAGACAGATCTGTTGTTCTTTTGACCATCTATCAGTTCAGAGTCTTCAGTTCTTCAGTCTTCCTTACACATCGTCCAGCTTTGGCTTGCCCATGAAGCAGTAGGAAATACCTTGGCTTGGGTCAGGTGCACCATTGTCTTTACCCGACAGTCATGCTCTTGAACACTTTAATGAAGTCCTTGACACAAGATCTTCCCAGTGTAGCATGTTCTGATTTCTTGACTGATGCCAGCTGGATGTTGAATATAGATCCAAGTAAACTTGCCGGCAGCTTTAATCTGACAACTGGTATGTGTATACCTGTGCACGCAGACACGTATATGTAGAGAGCGAGCTCTGGTGGTGTAATCTGTAGGGAGTTGGACTGCTAAACCAGACGTCACACCCCCAGCAGCTCCTCTGGAGAAAGGTGAGCAATCTTCTCCGTGTGATTTACAGCCTCAGAAAGAAGCCCAGTGAAGAGCAGCACTGAGTCAGTTCTGACTCAGTGAGCTCCCTCTAGAGCTCATCCGTTCATCTGGTGGTGAGAACCTAGGTGGTTTCTCTTGCTGCTGTTACGTACAGTGCTCTGAGGAGCGTGAGTGTGCATAGATTGATCTGTGTCACAAATCTTACTTCTCTAGGTGACACACCTAGTGGCGGATCATTGGATCTGTTGGTTTTTTGTTGTTGGGGTTTTTTTTTTCACTTTCCAGCTCTTTCAGGAAGCACCATGCGGTGTCTCCCAGTGGTTGTGTGATTCTGTAGTCCTGCCAGTCATGCATAAAAATACCATTCTCACCGTACTCACCAGCATTTCTTTTTTCTGCCTCCATAAACTTAGCTATATCACGGGGGTGAGAATGTATCTCATTGTTGTTGTTTTGGTTTGCTTTTCTTTAATGATTCATGATGGTACTCTGGTGGCATAGTGCTGTCCAGAAGGGCAGCAGTTCAAATCCATTACCTTGCTCTAACAGAGGAAGATAGGCAGTGTCCTCCCATGAAAGTTTACAGTCTCAGAAACCCTGTGGAGGGTCCCCATGAGCTGGACTCAACTAGATGACACAAGGTAGTCATCATAATGCACGATGAATATGAACCTTTGTAATAAATTTTGTGTCTTTTTTAATACAGATAGCATTTTCACCACATTGAATTGTACTAATCAGCAGTTTACAGCATATTCACAGACTTGTGCAACACTCACCGTCATCCAATTCTAGGACGTTTCTTTCACCCTGAATGAAAACCTTACACACATGAACAGTCACAGATACCCCACTCCCTGTCCCCCACCCCAACTCCAACCCTTGACGCACTAATCTGCCTTTGTGTGGACTTGCCTGTACTGAACATTTCCTGTAATTGAAGCTCCCTTCACTTCACAAAATTCACCCAAATTATAGCATGTTTCAGAACGTCAGTCCTTCTTATAGCTGAATAATCGTCCACTTTGCTTGTCCATTCTTTTACTGATGAGCATATGGCTTGTTCCTTTTTTTAACTGTTATGAATATTGCTGTGAGAATTCATGTACAAGAACATTGTGTAGACATAAGTTCTTATTTCTCTTGGGTCTATACATACCATTTTGACTGTGTGGACCACAGCAAACTGGCTGACTCTGAGAAGAATGGGAATCCCAGAGCACTTTGATTGTACTTATGCGAAACCTATACTTGGACCAGGAGGCAGTTGTCAGAACAGAGCAAGGACACACTGCATGGTCCAAAATTGGTAAGGTTGTACACCAAGGATGTGTCCTAGCTACATGCCTTTTCTTTTTTTCTTTTTTTTTTTTTAAATTTGTGTGTGTGTGTGTGTGCGTGTACCGTCAAATCAGATCTGACTGGTACAGGAGGAGATGGCCCCTCCTTCCCCGGCAGAGCACCTGGTGGATTCGAACCGTGCACCTCTAGGATTGTAGTTGCAACTTCTTGCCACTAGGCCACCAGAGCTCCCCATGCCTTTTCAATCCATATGCGGAACAGATTATCCAGAAAGATGGGCTATATGAGGAGAAATATGGCATCAGGATTGGAGGAAGACTCACCAGCAATCTGCATTACGCAGATGACACAACCCTGCTTGCTAAAACTGAGAAGGACCTGAAGTGCTTGCTGCAGAAAGTCCAGGACTGTACTCTTCAGTATAGATTGAAGTTCAATATCAAAAAGACAGATTCTCACCACTGGGCATTTG